ATCCACGGAAATATTGGCCACACAAGGATATTGCAAAAAGTGAAGATCTTATCTCAACACAAACCACATTATCAGCTGATGCCAACAGCTCTGATTCTTGATACCCATTATCAGTCTACCTCATGCAAGTTGTCCTAGAAAGAAAAATGAACAATGATTGCCTTGTCAATTCATATGTTGCGATCGAACAGAAAAAATGATTGCACAGTTCTGAAAATCATGTTGTGGATGACTACTTGCAGGGTCCTAGAGTGATACTAATTACTAGCTAGGAATGCAGTCAATAGGAGTTCTGTATATAGACTCAGAGGTAGCTCTCTCTCTCTCTCTACTGTTTCTTTCTTTGCATTAAGCCAGCAACAAGCTCCATGGCCAACAATCCACATGCTCAGAATAATAAGATTCCTAGTAAACCATATCTATCTTGAATCTAAATAGCTTGACCATAACACCATATTTTTCTGATTGTACCTAGCTTGAAAGATATGGTTTCTTCACAATTTTATGGCTTGGAGTGTTCCAAGCTATCTTGGTCTTCATGGAGATTGCTCTGTCCCTACAGTTCTGCATCACTTTTAAGGTTTCCTTTTTCTACTTTCTCTCTTTCTTTCTTTCTTTTTTCAAAAAGGGTCAATCATGGATGATAGCTGTAAAAAGACATAGAAATAGGACGCAAAAGGAGATGGCTAAAGTTCAAAAAGGGGGTGAAAGATTCAAAATTTAGCAAAAGTTTGCATGTGACTCCTGATGGTGACATTGGATAAACTAGATAGCTAGATGAAGATTCAAATTTTAGCAAAAGTTGCCGACTCAGATTCTTGACTTAGATTGGCAAGGTTTGAAGTGGTGTCAATTCAAGAACCATGAAGTTGATTCGGGGAGCTATGTGACAGTTTACAAATAATGCTTTCTCAGATTCACTTGTTATATAAGCTATAATTAACTTTGGATGGTTTTGCATTAGTAATGAACAAGTAGCCAATCCAATCCAGACGGAGTAGCTGGGATCTCCCGCCAATTACAAATTGCGTTCCAACCCCCTACCAACTTGATCTAACACCACACCTCACCATGAGACTAGAACCCGTATAAAAAGTAGGATCTGCCATGTATGAGATGTGCGGTATCAGGCCATGTTGGTAGGCTGTTGGAATGTATTTTATTGGCAGGTGATCCGGACTCATTTAGAGGATCCTATAAAAAGCCATTAGGCCCATTATCCAATGTTGGTCCCAGATATCTGTGGTCTTGGGGAATCCAGATTAGCTATACGTTTCGGCTGTGTAGTGGACTGTGGAACCAATGATAATTCCCAATGTCAGTGATAAAAATACATGAAGCCCACAGTGAGTGATTGAATGTTTGTGAGTCCCATGTATTTTATGACTGGCAAGAAGCATTATTATTGCTTCCACAACCTACTAAATAGCTACTGCGTTCAGCTAAACCTATCTTAGAAGAGATGGACTGGATATGGTTCTAACCTTTGACATTTTTTTTGCACAAAACGGCCTCGATCTCTCAGACTCAAACCTACATTTTCATGCTTGACAGCCCGAGATTTTATCATTACACCAATTAATGGCCCCTATTTGATGTGCACTTCAATAATTCCTCCATGTGGCAAAAATAAGGTAGGATACACTAGAAAGCTTTCATAGTCTATCTATTTAGGAAACCTTTCCTTTTAAACTATACAATGTGACAAGGTTGTGCAAAAGAGTACAGGGGTTTCTTTGTTATATGATAGTTTTCAATGTTGGACCTAGTGTAGAGGAATTTATACATAGGTGGACTGAATTGCAATTATCTAAAAATCATGTTCGGGTTAAAGAAAGATCTTTTTTGGAGTAGAAAGATAGATGTGCAATTCGGGTCAGGATAGCCCAAACCAACCCGAAAACAGTCGGGTTGGATCGGATTGAGGAAGGTGATGGTTAAAAATATAAACCTGACTTAACTTTGGGTTGGGTTTTAGCCTTAAAAGCCTAACCCAACCTGATTCTATTATGTCACAACTTTTTTAGAGTGGACCTCCTGCCAACATATAACTGTGTATTACGGCTAAGCAACCAATCATGAGTGAACACGTTAGTGTTCCATGCAAATGGGGCTGCACAGCTTGGTGTGTAGCGGATCCCTACCAATTTTTCAATGACCCTCTGCTTGTTTTGATAATGCCACTGTAACCACCTTGTGCAGCAGATGCTTTCTGAGAACATTCTAAGCATACCCTGTTCAGGACACCATACTCAAATAGTTGAGTTTGTCCAACCAGTAAGCCTAGCATTTTTTGTGCTTTTCGTTTTTTTTTTCTTTTCTATTTGAGATGGATATTTTCACTAACACCCCTGAAATAAAACTATCATAAATGGTAAGGAAAAAATTACCACAAATATATGATTTTAATTCACCTTTGCACTAATCTCCCTTATTTCAAAAGTTACTATTATAAAAAGTCCATGTCATGGATATGGGAGGGCCCTTCACCTCCACCCTTTCCTATTTCTATTATGGTAAAGAAGCTTATAGAATTCTAAAAATCAAGCACAAAAGCCATTTTGTATTTTTTTTAAGAACGGAGAGAGAGAGAGAGAGAGAGAGAGAGAGAGAGAGAGAGATTGGATAAAAAAAGGCAGTTGAATAAATATGAAAATGGGATGTGTTTTGGCTTTGTGCCAAAGCTAATAGCGGAGGTGAGGCAATTGGGCTTATATTTAAAATTTTATATCTGGTAGGGTGATCTAGGCCCATATAGGGCCAGGTCTGGGCTAATATCTTATGCTTGAGTTGCGGGCCAGAATTCTCAAAGACTTTTTCATTGGTTGTTATGCACATAAGATTATTTTTTTCAAGAGAAAGAGACTTCAATAATCAGTCAGTACTCAGTACTTATTAGAATAAGTGAGAAATAA